ACAGAGTCCTAACCGCCGGACCGCCAGGGAAGTGCTTGGGCATTCGTTCCTCACCCATCCTCTCATCACTTTCAGGAACATCCCTGGGTATGACTCTCTCATCCCCCTGACAAGGAAATGCATTTTATCTTTGACTCCAATAACCATCCTCTCCACACTGCACCATGCCAGCAGCAGGGCAGCATCTTATGACCCTTGTCCAGGGTCACTGTCCTCTAGCCAGAGACCACCAGGAACACACCTGTAGTTGAGTAAGTTGGGTTTATTGCTTTGGTATAGTGATGGAGCCCTCGCACCATGGGGAGCCTCGCAGCAGCTCCGTACAAGAAGGTGATAGAAGAAAGGACATACCGGACTTGGGTTTGTGTTTGGTGACTTTGGGGAGGATTTCAAGTAGCAGGACTTTGCTCTAGATCAGGAAACTGGGCAACTCTGTGACGATATCTTAAATCTTATCTATAGGGAGGGCAGCAAAGCCAAAGCTGTCACTGGGAAAGAAGCAGCAGTCACTACTCACTCGCTGGGCTTTCTGGTATTTTCTGCCGTGATCAATGTTTATGCTTTGTCTGTGTTCAGATATGATTTCCGTCCGAGTGGCCGTGTTTTTGTGTTGTCCCACCACAGTCACAGAGTGGCCTTATCTGATGTTGATTTTTTCGCACAATCAGTGACATTTAACAGGAGAACCCGAGGCCCAGCCTGAGTGCCCGGCCGGCTCCCAGGTGTTAGGGGCTGCTTCTCCCTTGCTCCGTCTTCACTGCTCTGAACTGCCCCACTTCAGAGATCAGCCTCCTTGATCAAAGCCTCCACCTGCTTCCTCCTCGACCGCCTGCCTGCTCCCTTCACTCCGGTGGAGGCTTGTCCTCGGCCCCTCCGTGTTGCCCGCTTATCAGCTCCTCTCTTGGCGCACTCCCTTCCCTAACCAGACAGGCGCCCTGGGGAGAAGGGCTCTTTGTGTGTGTGCTGACGGCAGCCCAGGACACCTTTCCTCCCTCCCTCCTGGTGTCTCCTGTGCTGATCTCTTCCCCTGGTGGGCAGAGGGGGCATCATTCGCTGTTCCCCTCTCAGGTTTCTCTTCTTTTAATTTAAAAATCGTTTTTAAAAATTTAGGTTTTTAATTTAAAAATTTAAAACAATTGTTTTGGCCGCACTGCACAGCATGTGGGGATCCCAGTTCCCTGACCAGGGATCTAACCCGCGGGCCACACCGCACCACCCTCCCACCTCCCCATGGTGGCAGGGCGGAGTCCCAACCACCGGGACCGGACCGCCAGGGAAGTCCCCCCAGAAAGTGTTCCCCCCCCAGGGGGGTGGGGCGGGGTCCCACCCCCCGGGCCCGGGCCGCCAGGGAAGTCCCCCCCCCCCCACCTCAGGTTCTGAGCACTTTGGCAGGAAGGCCTAAAACCATAAGCATATGTTTTTCTACCCTCAGCAATTCCTCTTTTCGTAACTTGTTTATTCCCTGTTGCAACCCCTAAAGCCATTTTTCCAACAGTTTTCTCTTCAGGCCGCCAAGGAACCTCCCCTTCCAGAAGATGGTCAGAACCCCCACTCTATGGAGATGATAGAAGGCATCTCATTTTGTCTACCTCAGCTACCTTATTTCCCCTGCTCTAATTTTTTTCTAAATCTCCACCCATCTTCTTTCCCGTGATCCTCTCTGGAAGGAGGAAGGCTAAGTCCTGTTGTAGCCTAAACCCTCCATGCACGTTACTGATCTCTCGCCCCTTCTCCATAGCCCCTCACCTTGCTGACTTCCCCAGCCAGGCAGCCTCTTCAGCCTGACTCCTTCCCTTCATGGTGAAATTCCAAGGAGGCGGTCTTGCCTGTTTGTGCACTTCCTTCGCATCCGCTCACACCTCAACACTCGCCTTCCCATCATGGTCTCCTCATCACTTCCTCCTAGACTCTTCTTCTTGGTGAAATTGACAACGTCAGACAGCCTTTGCCCTTGACTCTCCTGAGTCAGTGCCCTCCACCTTCTCTCGGCTTGTCTGGGTTTCACTGCTTAGTCATCTCTTTGGTAGGTTTCCTCATGACTCTGATCCCCTCCTCTTCCTCCTCCTTTCTATGTTTTCTCTTCCTAGTTCCCTTTCTGTCCTGCTTCCCTTCAACAATCTCATCCACTCCCAAACTTGAGTAGTTCACAAATTTATCTCTGTCCTTGGCCTTTCTCCAGAGCCCTAGTTCTTTATTTCTAACTGCTTGCTAAACATCTACAGCATGATGTATTATCAGTACTGAAACATCAGTTGTCTGAAACCAGGTTCATCATTCTCAGCAGAACCAGTTTTTTTGTCCCCTTTAATGGCATTTCCATTCTCTTTCACCCACAAATCTGGGATTTGATCTGTCATCTTTGACAGTCAAATCGCATGGGTTCTCTACCGTTGCTTTCTGTCTTGCATGTGGCCTCATCTTGGGGGAGCTCACCACGTTAGACTTACGCTGTTATGGAGCTATCACCTTGTCATTTAAGGGCAGGGCATCGGTCTTACTCACCGCTGCTTGCCCCTTAGTGTCTGCCACAGTGCCTTACCCAAAGCAGACCCTCACTGTTTGTTGAGTGGTTGTCTATAAATTAAGCATTTTAATGCTTTACTTGCATTTCATGAACTGTTTGTCATTGAACATATTTCTTGTCATTAGTTCTTTAAATACTTTTATTCCTAACCAAGCAAGCACCAGAGTAAAGTTTCATACCCAGAACTTCAACTCTGGTACTTATGCTGTTTCTCAGGAAGAGCAGTTAGGTAGGGGTACATAGGTTGGTCAGGAGGCGTTAATTTCACCTTCCTTCTTGAGAGCCGGATATAATACATACGGATATTACGTTTTCACGGCAATTTTAGATAACTTCCGTCTCCTTTTATACATTGATTTTTCTGCTTTTTTGCTTCTTTATTTTTTAACAGGTTTTCAAAATGGAAACTATCACTGTGACATAAGATGCTATTGAAAGTACATCAATATGATTCAGCTATTCCCCTGCCCAGCAGAGTGTAGCTGCTCTGCGCACAGCCCTGTAATACATATTAGTTACACAGACATTAGAGAAGCCCTTCCATCCATATGTATGTGCATGGCCTGCAGAAGTTAATAATGCCGTATATCACATGCACGTAGAATGTAAAATGTACTTCAGAATGACAGCAGGCTCATATAAAATGAATATTGGCTTACGACGAGAGGAAAGCTAGGGAAAGATTTTTGTCCTTTCAGACCTGCTCTTTACTGAATTATTTGTTTCTGTGTCTCAGTATCCCAGACTCACATTCTGCCCTTTTTTTTTTTGTCAATATTGTGCTCCTCTCGCCAGCCACCTTGCTTCACTTCAGCCACATGGATAACAAAAGAACCCCTTTGGAGAAATGAAAGATAGCAATTATACATTGGTATTCATGTTACAGGAGTCACACTGCCCTCCTCAGGGAGTTTGACAATGAATATCCAGCATTAATTGCCACAGTAACTGTGTGTCTGACCTTGCTGAAGTGTAATACATCAGTTTTACATAATAAAATTATTTGCCACTAAGAGATTTAAAAAGGTTGATCATAAAATTATATTGCTGTTTAGAATGACTAGTATTTTTTGTTTTTAAGAAGATCTTGGGGGACTCAAATGACTAGGTCGCTACATTTTCTTACGAATCAGCACACCGGGAGTTGAAATCATCATTTTCCCACTGATTTGGTTGGCAATTATGACAAGAATAGTGGCTTCCTACTCTTATGGAAGGTGAATAAATACATCGGCATCTCTGATAAATCTATGGAACTGATAATAAGGCACAAGGACATAGTACTTTTATCCAACGGGGGGTGGGAAAATGTTCTTTTTGTGTGTTTGTACCTAATTTAGGTAGGGTTTTCTGCCAGGAGCAGAAACACAGAAGCATGCTAGGAACCCTAGGACGTGTTTCCCTTTTTAAAGAGGCAACATAATTTTTAAGGTGAAGCCTCTTTGCTATCAACTTTTCTTGCTTCAATCTTTTGCTCAGATCCTCAGAAATACAGAAGGTAAATATTTCTACATGTGTTTCTCCCTACCCCCTCCGCCCCTACCTGCCTCTGGTTGGGTGCCACCCATCAGGAGAATTTCACCCTCCACACTCTGGAAGTGTTTGTCACTTGGGTGTCACTTGGGTCGGCTCCACACTGCTGGGTCAGCAGTGAGCCCGACTCTGACAGAGCCACGTCAGCGGGCCGTGTTAGGCTCTGGGCTGTGGAAGCTGTGTGTGCAGAAATGAATGATTGTTCAGCCTTCTCTCCGTGTTAAAAGGGACCGCGGTGAAGAAAGTCAGTGCATTCACCCGTGACATCCGAATTTCAGCCTAGATGAGATTCTAACTAGAGATCCGTTTTTGCTTGTATTCTGGCAAAACAAGTACATGATAAATATGAAGGCCACCTCAAGTATGGGAGTAAAACATGAACTGAATGACAGAATGAGTAGTTTTTTCCCCACCTTTTAAAGTAAGGCTGTGATGTAAATGAATATTGATATGTATCTGCTACACCTACTTAATATGGCTTGCTCATTGTTTTAGTGTTTAAATGATGTTTTATACGATTTTCTAATTTTAATATAGAGGCAGCTTAAGAAGTATTAACCAGGTAAAAGAGAGCATAGCACACATGCAATTAGTATATTGTGTTTTTGAGACTTTGAACTTTGGATTTCTTAATTCACATCATTCAGGTAGTTTTAAAAATGAACTCTGAATCCCATCCCCACTTTATTCTTTTTTCCAGTTTCCTTTGAAGTATTTATGTCTTTCTCATACTTTATGTATCCATACAACTTGAGCCTGGACCCTGTACCATTAGAGGGAGATTGTTGACCAGGTTCCTAATTTGTTCTGAATCTGTAATGATAATTAGGTGGGAAAGCAACTTGAGAAAGTGCAGCTTTACTTAGCTCTTTTTTTTTTCTTTTTCTTTTTAATTTCCTCTGTTTTTCCTTCTTCCATCCATCACTCCCATCGGCAATGAAAGCAGGATGATGAAGTGACAACTGTTCAGGTTAAAGAGCAAGACCGGGACGTCCTGGTGCTGAAGAAAGTGCAGAGCTGCGGCCCAGCCCCCCAAGCGGGGAGCGCGGAGAGTGATTGGAGGTCAGAGTTTCCACCCAGCCCCGCGCTCCTGTTTCCTTTTCCCTGCCATCCTCCCCTTCTCTCGCTCCATCTCACTCGCGCTCTCTGCCTCCTCTGTCCGCCCCCCCCCTCCCTCCCTCCCTTTTTTCTCCGCCTCTCGAGCCCAGCGTGCTAGCTGACTGCAGAGCTCTTAGCAGCCAGATGGACTCAGTTCCCAGTGAAAGGACAGAGATGGCAAGATCTTTGAGCTTTTAGGGGATGCCTTTGTTAGTAGCCGTGCACAATGGGCAGCTCCCGGCTGAGAGTCTTTGACCCTCATTTAGAGAGGAAGGATTCTGCCGCGCTTTCAGACCGAGAGCTGCCCTTGCCCACCTTCGATGTGCCTTCTTTCAAATACATTGACGAGGAGGACGAGGACGAAGAATGGAGCAGCCGTTCACAGTCGTCCACTGAGGATGACTCCGTGGACTCTCTGCTCTCCGACAGATACGTGGTCGTGTCCGGGACCCCGGAGAAGATCTTGGAGCACCTTTTGAATGACTTGCACCTGGAAGAAGTCCAGGACAAAGAAACAGGTAAGGCAGGGGGGTGTCTCCTGCTTCCAGACTCACAGCTGCGGCTGCCCTTGTCAGTTTCCGGAGGGGCAGAGCCTCCGGTCTGTACTGTAGCTGAAACCAGAGTGCGCTGACCCAGCATATGCTTCTTGGGTCTCCCCCTTAGCCTCCTGCTGTTTTGTTTAAATCCAGTAAATGGACGCACGTAGATCCAAGCAGCCACCTGGGGAGTAGCTGTACAAAGAAGATGATACGAAGGCAGATGTTCTTGTTTCGCTGGCAGTTTTTACCACATCTCACCTAAAGGCAGTTGGCAAGAGGCCAGCATTTAATAGCCAGTGTCCAGTGGGAAGGAATATGAGGGATGGGGTTACCAGCTATAGCGTTCACCTGGCTCGTGGGAAGCACTGAGCTGGGGGGAGTAGCCTCCCTGCCGAAAAGTCAACAATTAATGCAGCTACTCAGCAGCTATTAGCTTAGCAGCAACTTCTGCCTTTTTCCATGTGGTTTACAAACTGCTCAGAGCAAGCCCTGCTGTGCAGGATACGATACTCATAGCTTCTCAGACCAGAAACTGTAATTCACTGAAGTCTTACTGATCAGGCTTCTTGTCCTTTCTACTTAATCTGGGAGCAAAATACCCACTTAGCTTTTTCACCCTTGCACTTCTGGAAACACTACCATTGCATGATCTACCCAAACTTCCTTTATCACACAAGGGCAGTGCTTGCTTCTCTTAACCAAAATTTATAATTTGTTCCAGCCTGGAGCAGCTATTCCAATGAATAGGCCTCTGGCTGCAGCCTGAATTCTGCAACTTGATGCCCTGACTAAAATGCACTGTTTGCTGCCACCATAGCACCTGTGATGCCGCAGTTTGCATATCGACTGCGTCAATAAAAGGCATTTTTGGTTTTATTAGTACAAGTAACTCCTTAGGTTTTTCCCATGCAGGAAGGGTTGTGAAACAACAGCTTAGGTGGGAACAAGAGTTTCCTTGGGTCCCAGTAGTTTTGTCTGAACTTAATTGATGTCTGGCTCTATACTGCATTATAAAGGACATTAAGAGAAACAAAGATGTGTGAAATACGTAATAGTGTTCTTATAAAAAAGCCAAAAATGACTCAATCACACATCCTACATTAATGTTATTGTTTGATCTTGAAATTCAAATAAAAACTTTATTTTGCATATCTGTGTTTGGGGAAAAATAGTAATAGTTGTCATTTATACACAAACAAGCTAAAAGAGAAACGTATTCTCCTGGCATTTGCTGGGTGGTTTTTGTATGCCTATCTATTAATATTTTGTGCGTTTGAGCACTGTTTCTGTGTTCTGCTTCATCAGAACATGGAACTGGCCATAATTTTCCGCGTACTCGTTAGCAGACTGCTTTGCACAGGTGGTTTGGACTAGATTACAGGCAAATTATCTGCCACGAAGAGGACACCTTTGAACGTGAGTAGCAGTTTGAGGGACTGAATGCGTTCTTCTTAATAGCACTGCAGTTCTATAACACAGGACTTTGTGTCTAAGTCATATTAATAAGAGTAGAAATTACTGAAGCCAGTACTAGGCCTACTTGATTTCTTTTTTCTTTCGTTCTCACTGTCGTTAGGTTTTTGTGAAAGATGGCCTAGGTACCCACTGCCAAGTTAACACCGGGAATGAGAAATCACCCTAATTCCTGTTACTAATGCCAGGAGTTGCCTCCTGCTGGGAAACGGTGTTGTACCTGGTGTCTAGTGACTGGTATTCCCAGTTTCTTCTCGATTATACCAACACTGGGATCAGATGTGTCCCTCTTGCCAGGTGACGAGCAAAGCTAAAAGGACCACGACTCAGTGTGGCCAAAGCCGGGCAGGTAGAGCCCCGCAGGGGTCAGTCTCTCCTCATTCCTCCTCATTTCCTTAGCGTTTGCAGAGGACACGTGTAAAACTTCAGATGTTTGCAAGGACACCTGAGGGGGAAAACAGTGACAACTTTCCCTCTGATCAAAGGAGAGTTTTATGAAAATGAAAAAGTCAACTTTGGAGAGAGATTGATGTGTAATATGATAGGGACACCTAAGTGGAAGTCACATGCAGTTCTTCCACACTTCACGAACAGCACTTGGAGAAAATACAACAGAAGAGCCACTGGGTGGCTTTTGTTGGTAACATTTAAAAAAATATAAATATAAAATCAATTTCATGTACAAATTGAAGAAAAGTGGTTATGAGTTCGTTCTAGTTTGAATACTAAATGAATCACATATTTAAAGTAGTTGGGGCCCCTTGTCACTGACAGCGGTGAATGTTCGTTCTTTATCTTGGTCAGGCTGGCAACCCTCACTCTAAAAGGTCTACGTGTGCAGGAGTCTGAGTCGCGTAAACATATGGAAGACAGATGGAGGAAAACGAGAAGGGGCTGCAATAAACGTATACAGCAGCGTTTTTATGTTCTTGAGCGCCCCTTTTAGGGAGATGGAGCCATATGGAGCCGGGTGGAGCCATATGGTGGTTATCCACATGGCCCCAACGGCAATGAGGAAGAAAGCATACATGGGAAGAAATAAATGGTCCTGGAGGCTGGGATGAGCCTGTTCCGGATTCTTACATTCCTGTACCCACCAGAGGCTGGGGAAGCTAACCAAGCCAGAGATGCAAGTTATTTCCATCTCTTCCCCACAAAAGTCACTTCATTGTGAAAATGTAGGTGCAAGGCCCAATAGGCTAAGAGACCTGTACTCACAAAGGACAGGTTCAGGTGATTAGTAATTGCTGTTAACATGCAAGTGGAAAAAAAGTTTACTTAATTGAATGGAATAGAAATAAGAGATACTGTATTTTTGTTATTACCCAAATCTAGAATAGAATAGAATAGCAAACAGCAATTCATATAGTATTCTATCACCATATCAGACTGAGTTTCAAAAGCAAAAAACATTATTAGAGATGCTTACAAGCAACCTACTAATGATTTTCCTAAATGATTTGATCCACTCAACACTTACCATGCTTATTTTCATAATCCCCTATGTGCCTACCTTTCCTCCCTGGTACTACCAGGCACAAACAGTCATCCGGGGAATATCTGTGGAATGAGTGGATGGATGGATGGATGGATGGATGGATGGATGGATGGATGAATGAATGCATAATTCTTCATTGTTTAAAATGGAAAAACTGTTTGAGCCTGGTAACTGGATACCTATTTGTGAACGTTGAAGGACTGAAGCTGTTTTCAAAGATTACCTTTTCTTTCGAGGTTCAGGGTCTGACTTGAAGCGTTTGGAATGTTAGGGAAAAATCAAGCAGCTCTATCTTTCATCTTCCCAGAAATAGGGCAGACGTCACTGGGCATTCCCAGCCCAGGAGAATTACAAGGAAGGCAAGAAGCAAGAATATGTGTTGTGAGTAGAGGAGCTGGAGGGGTGGAGGAGTAGCTCCCCACCACCAGCCTGTCTCTGGAAAGGATCAAATGTGTTTTGTCTAGAGACGATTCTATTAGGAATAACGATTTCTGTTCTAAGGGGGGTGGCTGGGGACAACAATGTGATCAGATGGATTACACACAGAAAATCCTTCTTACTGACTTTTCTTTCTATATCTGCATTATGATGAGTCTACCTTAGGGGAAACACAAGAGGAAATAACATTATTTGCTCCCCTTTTTTTTCCATGTCTTGGGTTTTCATTCATCTTTTTGAAGCAAATGTGCTTATGATTACAGGTTTTCAAGAAAAAACAAGCAGAGAATAAGGTAGTGGGAACAGGTAAAGCCTATTAGCCGATTCTTATTAGGCTTGACCTGCTTTCTTCCAGGTATGGCTGTTTTTACTTCATGAGGTTATCGTTCAGTGTATTGTGTACTCAGTGTGGAAATGTCCGCTCATCCTGCTTTGACCACGGAAGTCATGGATGCCTCCGTGTGGGTGGTGTACTTTCAGCAGCACCTAGTAGGCTGATTACATCATGGAGAAAGTGAGTCCCTTACGTTTGTAACGAGGCAACCACCTCCGTGAAAGTACCTGGTTTATATCATAGGAGTGTCTCACTTAGTTGATAGGGTCCCAAAGCTATTCTCCATTGCCAGCTTAATGGCTTTTTTGGAGCATTGCACTGATGGAACCTTGAGTGAAGCTAGGGCAGGCAAGCCATCTTTCATTTTCTTTTATCTTCTTTCCCATTCTAGCACCAAGCGTATCCTAAACACTTGATACATATTTCTTGTGAAGGAAGATTAAGAATGCCTTTTTCCTGATCATTGGAAATACGGAAGACAGTTTAGGTGCACTTCTTACTTAATTTCCTTACCTATTGGGATTTCTGGAAAGATGTTTGGTGCTTCTCTTCTAGGCTTGCTTTTGCAGGTGGCAAGACCTTTATAACCCTGTGGCTGCATGACTTTTGCAGGACTAAAACTTTTGGTGGGCAGACATGGAAGTTTTTAGATGGTGGTAAGCCTCTCCATGATTTTGTGCAGTTAACATGCATGTAAAATTATCTTGGATCTATCTTTTTATTTTTGTGGTGTCATGTAACCATAATAGACCAGTGGATCTTATCTGTGGCTGTATCATTAGCAGCACATGGGACATTTTTCAAAATATCAATGTCTGGGTCCCACCCCCGAGGTCCTGGCTCAGTTGACCCGAGTTGGGGCCTAAGAGTTATGGGCTTTGAAGGCTCCCCGGATGATGCTATATGTAGCCAGGTGTGAGAGCCACAGAACTAGGACAATGACTTTGTCTCTCCACTTTTTTCAGAGACATATTCAAAGTGTCTAATAGTTATAAATTTGCCCCTGAGAACTAGGGGCATCATTTCTCCTTTCCTCCACTTCCCCTCCCCACTCCCTCTCCTGGTGTCCGTGTCCAGCCTCATATCCACTGGTCCCTGCCCTAGAGCCTCTGCAGCCTGAGTTCAAAATTCACAAACCTGCATTGCTGGTCCATCCACTGAAATGGTTTGAAAAAAAGGAAACAATCAGAGCAGACAGAGGTACTGGCCACACAGCTGTTAGCTCTCAGTTCTTGG